GAGCAAAGTCTATGTATTACTGAAGTCTAAACACATTTTCTTCTCTCTGGAGTGGGAGAATTCACTCACCTGTGTGGACACAAACCTGAAGTACCACCCAACCCCTTAGTACTTGGTAATAAAATAAGAATTTCCTCCTATCTCAAGCATTGATTTTGTTGAGTTTCTTGGTTCTACAACATTCAATTAACTCATCCACAAAACTGCTTCAGCTGAAGGCTGGACTGCTTATTTCTCCCCTCCTGGGGCTGGCTGTTCCCATCTTCTCCAGCTGGAGTCCCAAAGACTCACACCATTTTACCTGTTCCCAATTAGACACAGTTTCCAGACACTGGGATACTCACATTGTAGGAAAGTTTTGCTTAGCTAGAGAGTAAAGGGAAATTGGGAGGTAATTTCTTAATGACAAGTATCTATAAAAATAATCTCATTTTTTAAAAATTGCTTAAAAATAAATAGCATAATATTGGGAGGCGGTGGTGGTTTTAGCATTTGACAGGAATTTTATTTCCATGTGTAGCATTTAAATTGGAATATGCATTTCTAGAAATGCTTTTGAATTCTACCGTGTTGAACGGCCTTGGAGAAGAAGGAAACATAAATGTTTTCATACTTAAAATCTTAAAATCTGAACAGGATATTTTAGCCTCAGATAGAGATAAAGAAGAAAACAAGAATAGCCCTAAACTAAGATCTGAAAGCAATGCAGTGAGTTTTAAGAAATGTACTTTCCCTTAGATCCTTATAAAACCTTTTGTTTAATGTCTCAACACAGTACTCCACTATGAGGAAGGAGTCACGTTATTCCGAATGGCGAGGACAAACTGTTCTTTGCTGCCAAGCAGAGGGACCTTGATGGCCTGAAGAAAGGGGCTGGCAGGAACTGCCTGCAGCTCAACCAGGGCAAGAGCCAAGTACTGCACCCAGGTGTTACAAAGCAGTTTAAACACAGAGGAGCATGTTTAAGAAAAAAATGTCTCTGTGAATAAAATGGATCAAACCCCAAAAGGTTCGAAATATACCCCCAAACTTGATTAAAACCAAATTAAGTTAGATGATGTGCCAAAAAAGTTGATATATTTAATTTAATAGTAAAATGCTGCCATGCCCACCTTAAGCCCCCTGGCTTTGCCTGACCAGCTCTGGCATGGCTGGCTGCGGGGCACACTCCCCTGTGCCTTCATGAGGTTTGGGGAGTGGCTAGGGCTGAACGCTGACGCAGTCAGCCCTCATATGGAGAGACACGGCAACATTCCGAGGAAGAAGGAGCAGACTCTTCCTTGGTGTAACAGTCCAGAGTTTTTTACAGGACTCCGAGGATCCTGCACTCCAGGGGATGCAACCAGCGAAGAGCCCCAAACTAGCTCGTGCAACAACTTATAAAGGGGGATGTAACAGGGGGAAGGGATCATCCCCAACCAATAGGAAGGTGGGGGACCAGACAAATACAGAATCCAATGGGAAAGGTTTAAGGGAGGGGCCCCTGGCCCTCGCCCAATCACTTGATGCCCCAAGAAGAAGGTTCTGGAGGAGTGGGATGGGGAGCTGAGTGATGGACAAGGCACCAGGGAGGGGACAGGGGAATGACTTGGCACTTTTAGACGACACTGAGGGAAGAGGCAGGAAAACTTAGGGTACAACCACTGGGAAAAATGCAGGGGAAAGGGACAAACCATTACATAGAATGTAAAAACACAATACAACAGTAAAAGAAGCAAAAAGAAAGAAAAAGAAAGAAAGGAATAGAAAGTGGGGGAGAGGGTGGGGATGACATAGGGAGAGAGTGATTTGGATTAGGTAGAAACATATCACCCTCCCAAGGGTCCCAACAACATCTCGTTACTCCCCTCCATCTGGTGGTGAGGGTTCCCCACCTCCTGCTGCTGAAAAATATAGAATTCAATGGATTAATCTACATTTGGGCCAGGTGGGAATGCCCACATACCTCCCATGCAGGGAGCCAGTTTGACACTGGCTTGCAGCACTGTCTATTTGTTGTGTCATGTTTCGGTGCTCTGGTGCAGGATCTGGAGACTCCTTTGATGGGCCACGACACCCACTCTGCTGTCCTTCATGTGGATGTGGCTTTTCCTGGGGTGAAGGAGCCCCAGAGCTTCTCTGCACAGCAGAGGATGGGTGCTCACTGCCCCTGGCCAGAGGCTTTTTTACCATACAAAACCTTTCCTCGCCCCCTCCGTTGGTGGAGGGTATGTTTGAGTCTGGCAGCTGATAGCCCTGGGGCTGAGGCCTCCACCTCGAGGGTGCCAAGCTTGATCCCTCTGTGAATGTATTCTTCTTCCCCCAGCCCAGACCTGAATCACTTTCTCTTATTTCCATCAATGAGCAGTGCAGGGCCTTAGTCAGGGTATGGTGGTCTTCTTTGCTGCTTTCATGCAGTTTTGCTACAATAGGCAAAAGCAATTCATAAAGATGTTTAAGCCACAAATTACAATATTTCAGTCTCCAACACCAGGGAGAGACAAACCCTTGCAGCAACAGATGCTGAGACACAGCCAGCTCTGAAGCAGCCATGCAAACACCTGGGTCATTGTCGCTGTCGAGGCAGGACGGGAATGAAGAGACTCTGACCAGAAGGCTGCTGAGAGTAAAACTCCGGTTTATTCAAAATACACTGCTCTTTTATAGAGAGCTTCCTGAGGACCAACTCCATTGGTCCTGAAGTGAAAACAATCCACACCATTGGTGCAGAGTGCTTGACACACAGTGATAGAACTTAACTATAAACAATGTTTATACATTGTTTATACAAAAACAAGAGAGACAAAGAATTATTTACATTCTTTTCCAACTCTTTCTCAGGCTTCTGCCTGGCTAGAAATTCTCAGTTTCTTTCTTTGACTGAATCTGAGACTCACAGGTCATGGAGGACCCCAGAATGAGCCCCAAATTGAAGGTGTCAAAGTGCCCTTGGGGCAAAGGTGACAAAACCCTGGCCTGCAGTAGGCAAAGCTCTGGCAGCAGGTGGAGGGAGGTGACCTTTCCCCTCAGCCGTGTCCAGCTCCAGGCTCCCTGTGCAAGACAGACACTGGCCATACTGGAGAGAAGTCAATGTGGCAGTGCCCTCCTCAGCTCCACGCCAGTGCCCATTGGAAGGTGGTCTGTGGGAGCCAACAGCCACCAGATACAGCAGGAGGCACAGAGCAGTGCTGGCAGGAGGCATGCACTCCGTGATTTCCATACACAGAGCCTGGCCAGGGAGCAGCCATCCTTCCAGCAGGGAGGGATGGGGGCACCTCCACATCCTAGATCCCTTGGTCTAGGCTGGTGGATGGCCTTGCAGAGATGCAAAGGGCTGAATGTGCAGCCAGTGGGGTGAGCTGGTGTAGGAGGGGTGAGGGAGGGAGGTGAGGTCCTGCAGTGTCTCTGAAGGAGTGGAGAGGGTTGGGAGCCACCTGGAACACCACCATATCCATGCTGGCAGTGCTGGGAGGAAAAACCTTGCTCAGGAGGGCAGAGGGTCCCAGCTCTGCCACACTCAGGCTGTAGATGCCAGGTGGAGGAGGCTCATCTGTGGCTTTCTAAGCAGTCAGGTTCTTGCAGGTCAGTCTCAAGCAATGTCCTCTGACAGCCCCATCTGGCAATGCTGGGGGACTTTTCCACTCACCAGGTTAATACTCAAGACCTTTCAATATTTTGGCGTCATGTGTTGTACTCTAGACTTGTACTTTCTTGAATTTTCCAAATCCTGTCTACTTCCTTACGGCCCTCATAGCTTCCAGTAGCTCCCAGGCCAGTATTTCCTTTTTACTTCATAGTTTCAAGAATTCTGAGCTTGGTTCAGCAAAGCACTGAAGAGTACACACAACATAACAAAATACATCTTCCTTTTTATAAGGTTATTGCTAGGTTTTGATGTAGATAAGAGGATAAGAGGATATAATTTTGTATAATTATAGCAATTTTCAGTTACAACCAATAATATTTTCCATCACTTACATTGTAAGAAAATTAAACTATTAATATGCACATGAGTTATGTGTGCAGTGTGTGTGAGCACACAGCAAATGCCTTCAGCTCCAGCACTCACACACATCTGTAAGTTGATGGATACAAACGTACATACACAGAATAATCTACAGAGAGCAGATGGCTCCATTGTCTATTGCTATGTCCACAGCACTTCTTTTGATTAAAACTTAGATTGAAGGCTGTCAGACACCCAGAACAAAACATCCTTGAGTGAATCCCATTCAATCATTCTGATTGCAACTACTTAATAAACACACCCTTCCTGGAGATACTTCATTTGGTATTTATATTTATTATCTAATAGTTATTTTAATGTACTTTTGGGGTAATCAATCAAAATACCCAAGCAACAATCCTCTCTCTATATTTTCAAATGATCCAAATACTCATACTGTTATATTCTTCACACATGTTTGTTTCACTGTACTTTATGTGAGACTGAGAGGGGATTGTATTTTCCTTATTTTCACCCATTTTTTTTCCAAAAACTAACTTTGTTTTGGCTCTGACATGTCAAGACACCAAAGCATTAGTTAAAATTCACTGAAAACTGCAGTCCTATGGGATTTGAACCTATGCTATAATGCTTTGCTGAAATTAGGAATCTCTGCAGGGAGACACGTAGAAGTTTGGTAATTTTCCCAGGAATTGCCAGTGAACAGATAAAACTCACATCATTTGCTGAGTACTGCTTGAACAGTACTCACATACCAATAACCCAGGCCTAACCTGAATTGTGACATTATAAAAACTCCCTGAGCAAGTTTAACTGCACCAATAGTCTTACATTTATAACTATGTATCAGCTAAATTGTCAACATATTTTCTTTCACAGTTGCAATAGAAAACCTATCAAATTAGTTTTTTGTTGTTGTTTTGTTGGGATTTTTTAAAAGTTTTAGTTATGGGAGAATCCTATCAGCTGCAAAATCACCAAATTTATAAAGTCAGTAACCCAAAGACATATTTAACATCAAACAGGCCTTGATATGAAAGAAAACACAGGAATATCAGTACTAGTTCTCTTTAATAGCAAATTATTTTTAAAAGTAAAAGCAAAAAAATTCTTAAAAAAAACCTCAGAATTGTTGTACATAAGCTTAATAAAATAACATTGCATAAACTTTACAAAATAATGTATTTCTCAGGTAAAACTGAGTTAAGCCATCGCACACGGCAGATCATGACAGAGAAACTACAAGCAAGACCACCTGTATCATTTTTGTTTCATTTCTACTAGAATTATTTGTTAGGCATAAACAGTTTCCCTAAATAAAAGAACCTGATACAAAATTCATGCTGTCAGTGTTGCAAGGTGAATGATAAACTGGTTATATCTCTATTTCCAAACAGTCTGATTTGCGTTTCTGACAAAATATATCCTGTCTTTTTTACAAGAGAACAGAGGGGGAAACATTTTCAAAGTTGAGTAACACTCACAGCAATTTCATGTTCCTATGAAGGCAAATTATAACATTACATTTCCTTAGAATTTCATTTAATCCTTTAAATTATTCCTATTGATAGCTGTAAGTATTTTAAGCATGGAAAAAACCAAACTTTTATGGAAAGGAAAGAAATGACAGAAACTGCTGGCATTCAGAAGCTATAAATAGAAACCAACAATAAAGGCATCTGTGTCATTTTACCTCACTATCACCCACAGTTATTTTTTCCATTCTGTTTCAGGCTTTTGTTGTTGTTGTTGGGGGGGAAGAGTTGGTCAGTTTTTACTTCTGCTTAACCATAAATGTCTTTTTACATCCCAGAGAAATCAAATATATTTGAGCATAGGCTTAACTGCTATCATAAAAAAAGGAAGCATGCATACTTTGCTGAAGAGCTTGGCTAAATTAGGAGCTTATTTTGAACTGATCACAAATGCAATATTCACTCAGATCTTTGTGAGACAGCTCAACAGAAGCTACAGGTTTAATAGACCAAAGGTTTCAAGAAGGTTTCACAGACAATTCAGAGATGCCACAGGGCAAACTGTTCTAACCGTGTTCATGCATTTTTTAACATGTCTTTTATACTTACATTGCCAAAGCATAGAAATATGCTGAAGGATCTCCAAAAATTTCTATTACATTGGAAAAATATACTTAGTAACTAGTAGAAGAAGGGAAGATGTTTGAGTTTCAGTTATGACAAGTGGTTCTCCACATTCCTTCAAACAGTGCTTCAAGTTCAATTTGTTCATAAATGTAATTCTTGTCTTAATGGCTTGAAATCAACAAAAATGACATTATGTTTCTTGTAGTAATAATTTACTAGCATTAACAATAAGGAAACCCGCTATTTATTTTGTATAATTAATAAAATTATGCTCAGGGCTGTATTTCTATGAACTACAAATTATTCCCATTACTAACAGAGAGATGATATGAGCAATGGAATCAATGTCATTAAGAGAACTAATACTGTGGATCAATGCCTTATTTACTAATGCATATTAAGCCACAGCCTATCAGGAGACAGTTTGCTCAAGAGGATGATGACACACAACCATTAAGGCTATGAAAAGGGTTCATAAATGCAATAATTGTTCCTGACTTTTACAGAAAGCTTGGTGGGCTCATCTTGAAGTCTCACATATTAAAATGTCTCCATCAACAGCAATGGTTTCATGGAAATTTCAGTCTGAATCCAGGCATGTGGGGTTTTTTATTTCATTAATAAATCAAGCTTCTCTTAGACTGAATTACAAATCCATTCAAATTCAAATTTTTAAACTAATCTACTATGTACTCTTCCTTTGTTTTTTGTTCATGATGACAGTATTTCACTATTTAGTGCATCAGTGCAGGACAATCAACAAAATTTTCAGTTTTAAATGGAAACAAGCTACAGTATTGCAGGCTGTCCACATGTATTCATAGTGCTAAATAAGTGCTATATATGCATGCAAAACCTAATAATTCTAATTAATATACTGAAAATAGACTATTTTGTAAAATTGAACTGCTCCCTCATTATAGTAAATCATTTTCTGTGAGTATAAATCCATTATGAGTCATATCTTAATGTTATGCCTGGAAATTATACCTATCGTGGGGAATTTTAGAGGAAAAACTACATATGTCCTAGTTCAAAGGCAAAAAATAGTTTATTTTCATTAACAAATCGACAAAGAAGTTTTGACATTGAATCTGGGTAGGTCTCTTTTCCTTTCCCTGGAACAGTATAGTTTTAGTAGTTGTTCTGTTGCTGCTAACTATCTGATACCACAGAACAGTTCATTTACTTCTAATACTACTATAAAGTACTCTTGTATTTCCCCCCTCAAATTCTATCATAAAATCTCACCCTGTAAATATAATTCTATGTTCTTCTAGTAGATATAAACGCTTGTTTTTTCATCAGTCCATAGGGCATCATCATCTCACGACTCATTACGTGGGTACTCAACCTTCCTTACCAATCACAAAAAGATAACACTTTAAATAAAGTGTTATCTTTTTTCATTTTGTGCCCATTACATTTTTCTTCTTTATGCAACTGCTGCATAGTCATTGCTCTGGTCATTCTTTTCACTTTCTTGTGGGCTGGTGACTGTCACTCTTGGACTTGTGGATGTTTTTTTAAGACCGGGATCAACCTCAGGAAAAAGAACAGGCACTGTTAACGTCATCAGGTACCAAAGATTTCACTTCATTTTAGTACAGCATTAAGCATCTCATATTAAAATTTCCACTAGGTATTCTTAATGTGAAAAAAATGTTTTCCAACAGTGATCATGTTAAAATTTTAATTTATTTTACACTTATATATCTTCCAAAGGAGAAAGCACTCACATTAGAGGTTCCCCCTTACAGTTCTTTCATCAAGCATCCAGTTACACACATATGCATTTAAAGTGAATGCTCACTCACTTTCTCCATTTACAGAAATAACTTCAATTTACCTTAAAAAAAAAAAATCAAATATATGAAGCACCAAATAAATTCAGAGCCCAAGAAAGTGTCATGTTACTCAGCTCTTTCAATTGAAAAATATTTTTGTGTGTCATACAGGAACAAAAAAAGCCCAGTTGCAAAGTGCAAGAAGCCATTCCCAGTGTCACAGGAAGCAGAGGAAGAGACTGTTTTTCAGCAGCCTCAAGGCATGGAATGTGCAGCAATTTGCTCTGCTTCTGACACTCATGAATCCCACTCTCCCCAGGCCTGGATTCTCCCCATCAAACAAAATATTTTGTTTCCCTCACTCTGTGAGCTGGTCAGTTCATCTGACAGTCAAGGGAGTTCTCCTTATTTAGGTGTGTTGGATCCCTCCATCTAAGCCAACAGCATGTCACCATGTATCCTAAATTAACACGATATTTGCTATTAAACTGACTAAAACCCCTTGCTTTGAAGGATCTTGTCCATATCCACTGTATTTTTAAATTTCTAAGAAGAAGAGCTGAAATTTCCACAAAGCAATGGCAAAAGCTCTTTATGAAATGCAACTTTTGTGAAAGTCAATTAATTAAAATAATGAGGCACTGGTGTCATGAACACACCTTTCTGCTCTGTCCAAATAGACAAAGTAGTGTAGAAATATATAATGATTCTGCTTTTCTGGAAATTGCAATATATTTTTTTCCAAAATTCAGCATACTAAGGAAAATCAGAGATGCAAATTCATCAAATAGTGAGAAACATCTGCTCTCTCAGTTGGAGGGCATATGATGTAATTATTGATGTAACTGAGCTACACAGATGAAAAACAGCTTTTCCACAAACTGAAATTCTCATAAATGGTCGAAGGACTTTTATCAGAAATTCACTAATTAGAGATCAGATGAAAAGCATAAGGCTGAGATGAATGAGGAATAATAACATAAGAAAAACAGTTTGAAAGAATAAATACTCACCTGGTTCTGACTGCCAGAATCCTCTTTTCTTTCTTCTTCAGGCTGAAGATCATTTTGGTAGTTCAAATGCTCCATTCCCTCACCATTTCCTTCATGGTTTTTGCCATTTAAATAGATAGGTTCCTTTTCCTCTGCTTGGCCAACATTCTGTGTTTCTCCTGCTTCATCTTCATAATTTTCATTTAACTTCTTTTCATTTTTTTCCACTTCAATTCTTTCTTTAATAGTTTCCCCACTTTCCTCTCCAGTCACTTCTGGATATTCTCTTGCATATGCCTCCTCTCCTCTGTCATTTTCCTCTTCTACATTTTCTTCTTCATCTACAGTTTCTGCTGGTCTCTGGTGAAAGGAAAAGCAGCAGCATTATGAGGTATTTTAAATCAGAATGCTTCATGCAATTCTGAAACATGAGAGACATCAAATTCCTAAATACGTCATTACTGAGGAATAAGTATGCCAATTTGAGGTTTGTCTACATGGACTGAAAACTATGTTCCTGTACTTACACCTTATAATGCCCTTTTACTCTTCTTTTCCAAAATGTGTTGGTGAGATTTAAAAATATTACACAGAGTTTGATCTACTTGACCACACTCAAAACAACTGGAATGAGCTGAATTTAATTGACACCACAACAGCTTACTCTGTTTCATCTCTTCGAGGTTCTCTGACTTTCTAGCATTTAGTACATACTTGTTTATAAAGTCCTGTCACAAGAAAATACCATGTATTACTTGCCCACAAACTGTTCCCCAAGAAGCATTTTATCTGTGGACCATGACCATCGGTCTTGTCTTCTCTGAATACACAAAGTAGTTCAAGAGATGAGATAAACCTACCACTGGTCACTTCCAAGACACCATTCTCCTTCCCAAAGATCCCTGCATAGGGTGGATTGGTTAGTTTTTGCTGGACGTTTGGCAGCAATTTTTTCCTACACAGAATTAGACCAGCAGCCAGAAGGAACAAGATCTTTTGTCACCTTGTAGAAGAGTTATCAGAAACTCGTTATGGATAAAGCTGCTGGCAGCATCATCTCATGACAGCCTGGGAGATGGATGCACAAATTGCCTGGTCTTTGTTATTTGCCTTCCAGTTTCAGCTTAGAAGAGTCACATGAGTATTCAGTCCACCAACGCTCCCACCTGCTAAGATTACTTACATACTTATGCTGAGGCATGAATGAAAATAAAGTGAAAAAATCCCACAGGACTGACAAGGTGTCTGCCTCCCACCCAGCCTCATCAGACTCTAAATCTAAAGGAGACAAGCTGAGAGCAATAGATTATCTCTTAATCAAAACTGTTTGGAATTTACTGTCCTCAGTATCTCCTTTATGCAAGCAGCGATCTGCGACAGAGAAGTTGTCTTCTAAAAATTTATTTTCCTCACTAATCATAACATTTCAAAAGAATTCTCTCATCACCTTCAATGTATTAATAGGAGCCAGTTCAGTAAGATCAAGAATTTATTGAAGCCTCTTGATGAAACATCTTAGTTTTCCTTTGATATCTAAGGAGCAACATATGACAACTTTATTATGCCAGTGCACAATGTCATATTGGCACAGCTGCAAAAAGAGCAATTTACTGTGTTGCAATAATTCACAAAATATGGAATTACCAGGAATACTACATGGGTACACAACCAGGTGAATAATAGCTCCAGAAGTGACTTTTGAAGTTTGGTCATTTCTATGTGTTTTTTATTCAAGCCTTTCTGACTCACTTTCATCTAGTAACATCAAACTGGCCTTATTACCACTGAAATAAAAGTTTAACAAGCCAAGTCTTTACAGAAACCTTCAAAGAAGGCACCATCCAAATCAAATTTGATCCAACCTTCATAACCTGCAGTACATAAAGATAGCAGAGAATCTGTAGATACATAAATTCTCAGAAGTTACCTGCTACTCTTAGACATATTATCTACTAATTTTCTTTCAGTCTGCTAAGGAAATTAGCAGCTCTGGATTCTGACCACAAACAGGGGGTGGGACTAATTACACGCACCAGACACCACTAGCTAAAAATGTGTTTGGTTTTACTTAATGACACCTACTTGCTAGGACATTACACACACTAAATGAAGAGAGGATAAGAAAAGTCAACACATACTTTCTCAGTTAACTATTGTAGTCATCTAAGACATTACCATTTCCAGCTATTTGGTAGTGGGCACAAGCAGAAGTGAATATATGCTATTCCCTGCATGGCTTTAGTATGGTGGCTCATTCTGGACTGCAGAAGAAAGTGTGTAGGCTTTATGCCATGGTGTAAACATATGTATCCCAATGCTTTAACTGGTTTCACTGCTGTGGAAGCAGTCTTTGGCATGGAAGCACAATGGACATTTGAGGGACAGTGACTTCCTAAGTGCTAGACTAGCTAGACTCATTTAACCATATGTGTCTAAAATAAGTGTGGATGCAAATTTTTGAAGTTAAATCTGAGCAACATAGAATATAAACACAGCATTGTTGAACTATACCCAGAAACTCATGAAAGCTCACAGAGCATAGTACTGGCATGAAATAGCATTCAAATTTTAACTAATTTAACTTGACCAAGCAAGCTAAATTGCAAGAAAAATAATTGTAGAAAACAAAATGAGTAGACAACTCCCATCAGTGCAAATATCATGTTTTTATAGTAACTGAAAATTTTGAGACAGCTGAGCATATTACTACAATGTCATTATTATTAGAGACAAAAAGAAAAAGGCATGTTCTCAGCTAATAATTGGAAGGCAAAACACATTCTTCATTTAATCTCCTTTCAAGCTACAAAACATAAGAATAGACATTTTAAACAAGTTAAAAATCAGCATTGATTCAGAGTAAAAAACTTTTCACAAGGTAATCTGAAATGTAGTATGGTTCCCTCTGCATGCAGAGTCAAAGGTAGCCTTTCAAATGTGGATATGACCACTGACTGTGCATTTCAGACTGCACAGCAGACCTAAGACAGGACTGTAGGAAGGAAACTGAAGGCTAAAATCACTCACCAAACAGTACATTTCTCTTTACATAAAAAGGTGTGATACTTTCTATTGAGATATTATTGACCTATTCACTATGCGTAAATTAGCATTCTCTATTTTAAGTACACTTTCTTCACTGAGAAAGAGATATACTTAGAAAATTTTGGATTTTTCATATTTAGGGAAAGAGAATGTTTATCTGCACATATGCATGCACAGAAGAAAACAAAAATGTAGAAAACCAGAGGTCTTAATAGTGCAAAGCCTGTAAATGATGCACATACTTAACTTTATCTTCTTGAACAGTTTCAGTGATAGCAGTGATCCTGAAATAGTGAAATAAAGCCTACTTATTAAAGTACTTGGTGGGGCAGGATGTAATTCAAAGTCCCCTGAAGTAATTTGGAACCTTTTTCTTGAATTTGATACAGTCCAGCCACACCTGCACTACGACTGCACAAATTGCCTATTATATATGCACCAAAATTACCACAGACTGTGCTCCCTCAGTCAGAAAAAACCAGGATGGGCACACTGAAAGCAAAACAGGTATGCTGACTGAGACCTACCTATCCTTGCAGAAATTATCAGATTCAAGTCAGCAACGACCTTGTACACTGATGTGGAAGCACTGACATTTCCCATCCTTATTTTTAGCTTTTCATCAGTCACCTTTTAAATAATCAAAATATTCTCAGTCAGAACTTCCTGAATGGAATGAATTGGATGGACAGCCAAGACAGATGTGGGACTGCTCTTGTTGCTCAGAAGTCAAGAGTTTAGCCTTTGGCCATTGTTGGCTCACAGGAAGTTTACCCTCATATCTGTGGTTCCTATAAAAGCTCAGGGCAACTCAAATCCAGAGAAACAGCTCTGGATATATCTCCAGGCTTGAGTGCCTCTATCACCTCTATGTAACACAGTTATCATAAGGATATCAAGGATCAGAACAGAGAACAAAAGGCACATCAAAAATTCATGTTGATGACAACCAGCCAGTTGTAGCCCAGTGTAACTGAACATGGATACTGTAATGAACTACAGAATAAATGTTCCTGCATTAGTTTAGTCCTATCTGCACACCTCAAAAAACAACAGCACAACTTGAACATGGACTGGAGAAGCATTCCTATTCCTTAAGATAATTTTCACAAGCAAGTGAGTTCTAGAGCAGGGAGCTTTTCCAGTCACTGCGCTAGATTATCCTCATTCCTCCTACAGGTAGAACTAATCATAATAAGGTTTGTAATTTTGTCTTTTGAATGTCAGAAGAAAATAGGAAGTAACCTTCCTTTTTGCATTGCTGGCTTCATCTTTTAAGCTTTTGAATTTCATGCTTGAAAGCATATTACTTAAAATAACTAGTTTTCAAACCATACCTGTGTGAAAGTGAGAACAGTTCTTTGCTTGTCATGGACTAGCAATAAAAAGACTCACTGACAAAAGACTTGTAGATGTACATTGAAAAGCACATTTAACCAAAGCCATGCAGAAATACTGAAGCAGTTCTCAGCTTCTTGCTGGAAATACGGGCCCAGCTCGCCTTCTGGAAACCACCTGACTTAACAAACAGGGTGATGAGAAACAGAACCAGTTTCATTTTGCATTCAAGAAGTATGATTGCTTGACAGTATTTTTAATCTCAGCAAATACAGAGCCTTTAAAACAGAAAGACGTATTCTAATTACACTGATCATGCTATCCTTCATTAAGAGCTATATTACCAAATACCATCATCACTCAAAAGTAGTAAGTCAGGAAATCTTCAGACATTGAAGCATTTGGCTTCTTTTCCTCTAGGGATGCTAATGCAAACCTCTCAGAAGGTTTGTATATGACTGATACTGAAAAGTGCAGTATCACAAATCATTTAAGGCAGAAATTATTTTGTACCATTAATACAAAACATAATTTTGCTTTATTGAAGTAGTTTAGAAATGTTTACTTGGCTAATGGTCACAGCACACAAATAATAAGGTAGACAGCAAAAATCTTAATGGTCATGAAGAGCAGCATGAATACATCTCACAAATGCAGTAACAGGAACACTTGACTTCGAATGCACCAAAGCTCTCCAGAACTGAGCTCCCTTGCTCCTACTCAGGAATGTTTTGTAGCAGCACTGCACAGATTCCAACAGCAAAACATTTTGTTCCTGAACCAGAAAGTGTTGCTAAGTGACAGCAGCCCTCTTCTCTTCCACATCATTTACAAAACCCAGGCTCTTAAAAACAAGCAAATGGATAGTTAAGGTGCACCCGTCTTACACTTCCTACATAGTTCCCATATTTGCACAAAATGCACTGTTGTTCCTGAAGGCAAAAAGTCTTTATCTCCACGACATTTAAACTCCAACT